ACAAAAAAAACGTATATAAAAGATTTAAGAAAGAGATTTTAAATGGAGCAAATTAGCATACCTTATAGGCAGAAGCAAGTAAATTAGTTGCTCTGAATAACAAAACGAAGAGATTGCGTCTCTAATTTCAGTGCATTGAAAAGCCGAATAGCCATGTCAATCTTGTCTCTGAGATAACAAAAATACCCCATTGATAAGGAGAGAAAATGAGCATGAAGACTAGCATGAGATACTAAAGTTAGATGAATACCTGAAAAGTTGAGGAAGACGCTGTGCAAGTAATCCAATTGCTTGGAAAGAAAAAGTTTTGGTCTCTCTCGCAATAATATCTGAGAAAATAAAGTAAACAAGATCAATCAGCTAGTATTTATCACCCTGATCAAATAGCAATGAAGAGAGGAACTTCAAGAATCTTATCCTAGGACCTGACTCTAAGTTTGAAAATCCATCAAGTAATTTCAGAACCCCATTAAGGATAACAGGTCCCATAAGCTTCAGTTGATCAATTGTTGCCTGCAAATAAAAAATAAAATACAGAACAAGTTAGATGATAGAAATATATAGATGTATTATTTCAATATAAATATATATAAATTCTTAAAATTTTCTTTGCCATGTATAATTTAAGAGAAAATTTGATTAAAAAAAAAGATGACTATGAGATTCAGCTGTCTTGAAGCACATTGAACATACCCCCAGAGGAAAGAGCATTACTCAACCTGTGAGCTTGGAGCAAATCCTTAACACTTTTTTTAGTAGAAAAAGAAGTATTATTAGGATGAGAAAGAAAGTATATACGTGGAGAATAAGAAATCCTCCTCCAAACTCCAACTAGAAGAATCGCAAAACCAAAAAGAAAACACAAACCACAAAAGACCAAGCAAAGGCGTAAAGACTCCAAATCCCAAGTCATTACAAGATATTATCACTTCCAAATTCCAAAACGACTTAGAACAAAATATTGTAGAAAATAAATATTAGACGGTTTGAATTGAAGGGTAGAATTGTATTTTTATTTTCTGAACAGGTGGAATTGTCCACCACCACCAGAATTTGTTATTTTTATTGCTTCCGTTTTTTCATTCTGTTTTGAGGACCACATCCTAAATTTTGGTGTGTCATCTTAGCTGTTGGGTGCTTATAAAAGGCACATCCCCGCCTCTGTGTAGAGGACGCAAGAAAGAAGAGAAGAATTTCTCATTTTCAATCTCACTTAAATTTGCTTCCATTAAATTCTTCATAGTATCAGAGCCAATCTGATCCAGAATTCTCCTTCCGTTTGCGTCAGACGATTCAATGGCCACGGATGACCAAATTCATCACCCAAAGCTATCTCGAGCATGTATCTTCCTAACTCCACCAACTCTGAAATGATGGAGCAGCACTCATCATTCATCATCAGCCATCGCATTAATGGTGATAATTACTTCCAATGGTCGACATCTGTTCGGCTATTCATCCGAGGGAAAGGGCGTGATGAATTTCTTACCAAGGAAAATCCAGAACCACATTCAGATGACCCACGAGCTCGTGCTTGAAAAATCAACAACAGCATGGTGATGTCCTGATTGCTAAGCTCCATGATTCCCGAAATCAACGAAAACTTTCTGTTGTACGAATCAAGCCACGAAGTCTGGGAAACTGCCAGTGAGCTATACTCCAGCCGCGAGAACACATCAGTAATTTTCGAAATCCAATCCACCATTCATGAGCTGCGGCAAGGTGAGCTCACTGTAACCCAGTTTTATAATTTGCTAACCCGCAACTGGCAGCAGCTCGATGTCTTCGAGGATCATCAATGGTGTTGCCCAGAAGCTGCAAAAAGGTACAGAGAGATTATAGAACAAAAGAGAATTTTCAGGTTCCTCATAGGGCTCAACAAAAGCCTGGATGAAGTGCGGGGCTGCATTTTGAGCACGAAACCACTTATGGGTATTCGTGAAGTCTTTTCTGAAGTTCGGCGAGAAGAGAGCAGAAAGAAGTTGATGCTAGGAGATCCTCAGTCGACTCAGCTGAGTGAAAATGCTTCAGCTCTCACTTCTCGCGTTGCCGATTCCCTTGGAAAGAAAGGGCACCCGTTCTGCGATTTTTGCAAAAAACCAAAACACTTCCATGAGAAATGCTGGAAGCTCCACGAAAAACCTAGAGAGAAGAAGTTCCCTGAAGAAGCTCACGGTAATTGGGCGACTTCGAAAGAGCCATTTGTGCAACCCGAGAGTGCTCCCTTCAGTCTAAGCAAATGGAGGCGTTGATGAAGTTGTTTTCGTCAAAAGTGGGCACTGCCTCTACTTCCGTGGCCCAAAAAGGTAATTACTCATTTGGTTTATCAGCATGGTATAATAAAAAACAAATTTGGATTGTGGATTCTGGAGCATCTGACCATATGACAGGAAATCAGCATTTGCTTGGTGATTACAACAAATGTAAGGAAGATTATTTGATTAAAATAGCTAATGGATCAAGCTCTAGAGTGGCAAGAATTGGCTCCTCAAAAATATCATCTTACTTGGCAGTCAAATTGGTGTTTTATGTGCCTAATTTGGATTGCAATTTACTGTCCATAAGTAAACTGTGTAAAGATATGAATTGCGTGGTGAAATTTGACAACCATACTTGTGTATTTCAAGACTTGGCTTCGAGGAAAACGATTAGCAATGCTATGATGGATTCAGGTCTCTACTATCTTGCGGTTGATTCATCTTCCTCAAGTGAACAAGCTTCTAATGTTGTATGTGTTAATTCAATTCCTATAGATTGCTCAAACAATGATCAATTAGTTATGTTATGGCACTACCAATTACGCCACCCGAATTTTTTGTACTTAAAACAAATGTTTCCTGCTTTATTCAAGAATAAAAATTTACTTTTGTTTCAATGTGAAGTATGTCAGTTTTTAAAACATACTCGCAATTCATTTCCTAGTAAACCATATAAACCCACACACTTGTTTGCACTAATCCACAATGATATTTGGGAATCTTCATGAATAAAAACTATTACTGGGAAAAAATAGTTTGTATCTTTCATTGATGATCACACTAGAATTACTTGGGTTTTCCTTATGAGAGAAAAG